AACTTTACTGGATCAGGCCATAGGTCATTAAAATGTTAGAGACTGGCGTTGCATCATATATATAATTTCCAATGCTGGCAGGCACGTAGCATCGATTTTGAAAGTGGGGGACCAGTCACTGTAATTTTTTTTACTTACCTGAAAAAGTTGACAAGCAAAAAAAGGGGGGGGGATTGCCCAAAGTCGAAAATCCTATTTCGTGGGGGGGGGGGGGGGAGGGGGGGGGGTAGATGCAAACTTTTTTCACTACCACTTCCTTTCTATATCCATTTTTTAAGCTTACAATGCTGATAGTTCCTTCATATTACTTTACTTTAGTATAAAGTGGGGGGGGGGGGGGGCAACCAACCATTAAAATAAAATTTTCAATAGTAAAAGTAGTGTTGGCAAAAAAAGTGGGGGGGGGCAGGCTCCCCGCCCCCCCCCCCCCCCTTGCTACGTCCCTGGCTGGTAATAACTGAAACTCGACAAGTTAACTTTCAAAAGAAGATTGTCGGCAGTTAATAAAAAGTACTCAAGGAATACATGTATCTATGAAATCCAGTCAAACCGTTCCCAATTAAAACCGCCCCGGTCAAAGCGTTCCCAGATTTTGGTCAAAGCGTACCATAATTTTGGTCAAAATATCCCCAGATTTTGGTCAAAGCGCCCCCTGACATATTTATAGAAATATGATACTACAAAACCGCCCCCTGATTTTGGTCAAAGCGTTCCCTGATTTTGGTCAAACCGTCCCCCATTTTGGTCAAAGCGCCCCCTGACATATTTTATTGAAATATGATACTACAAAACCGCCCCCCGATTTTGGTCAAAGCGTCCCCTGATTTTGGTCAAACCGTCCCCTGACATATTTTGATAGGAAAACGTAGTTTCTAAATCGCCCCCTGATTTTGGTCAATGCGCCCCCTGATTTTGGTCAAAGCGCCCCCTGACCATGCTGACATATTTTGATAGAAAAACGTAGTTTCTAACTTTCTAAACCACCCCCTGTTTTTGGTCAAAGCGCCCCCTGATTTTGGTCAAAGCGCCCGCGACATATTTTGATAGAAAAACATAGTTTCTAAACCGCCCCCTGATTTTGGTCAAAGTGACCCCTGACATATTTTGACATATTTTGATAGGAAAACGTAGTTTCTAAACCGCCCCCCCCCCGTTTTTGGTCAAAGCGCCCCCAGTCAAAATTTGTGTGAAAAAAAATGATGTTATTAAATTGGAAAGGGGGGGGGGTTCATGCAGTACTTCCGAAGTATTTCAAGGTCAATTAGATATACGTACATTTGCTACTTTAAACTTAAATTGTGTCCCCTAGGTGTCAATAACATCTGAGAACTTTTATGCTTTCTAAAATACGCCTGCCAGGGGAAATACGCCTGCCGAGAAAATCTATATGCCTGCCTTGTTATTTATTGACTAAAGTTAATTTTATTACATATATTAATTTAATGGACTATTTACTTAATGTATTACCAAACAAAAATAATTTAAAAAGCACATGTCCGATGTTTTATTCGTTTTATAATTTGCTTCCGTCATACAGTACGCCTGCCGAGAAAATCTACACGCCCGCGGTGTTGTTTCTTTTATTTTGTACTATTTAAAAAAATATATATATATATGACTTTAATAAATTATTTGGTTGTCATTTAATTAATTATAAACAAATCAAAAAGAAAAAATGTTTGATAATTATTTATAAAAATCTACACACGAGATTTGCAGTAATATTAAAGGAGATCTCTGACTTTACAATATTTTATATTCCTTATATTTTCTGTTTGTCTAAGAAAGACGTAAATACTTAACTTTTATAAACATTGAAGCTGATGTATGTAAAACAAACTAATTAAAAAAGAAATGTTTTATGAATTTTAAAACTAGATATGTCCAAGACCCAAATCTTAGACAAGAAAGAAATAACCACGGAAACCATCCATGAAGATCATGTAAATTGATTCATGATATACATATTGTGCAACCATTATAAAAATTTCTACAATACTAACCATTTTAACAATTTCTACAATACTTATCTGAGGAGGAAGAACTGAAAAAAAAATTATTTGCAGCTCTGGAACGTAAATAGTTTGTGTGGTATGTTTTATACATGTAAATTGACGATCTTTTCAACATTTTGATAAACATGCATTTGTATTAAATTCGGAATTTCCTTCATCCGATATTTCTTAAAATTCATTTATTTAATCAGATATGTAAATATTTACTAATTCTGATTTTGTGGTTCTGGTTCATGATTTCCCACCTTGGAGTGTGTATAGCGCACGTGCCAATCTTCTCACTTGTAATGTACCTAATTATGTAATACCACATAATATTACGCACAGGTAGGAAGATCGATTATTAAGTTTCATTGAGATTTGAAGTCCGTGTATACACAGTAAACATGAATTCAGACATTCATATCATTGTAAACAAATTTTAACAATAATGAATTTTGATCATGTTGATAGAAAAATAATATACCGTATATAGCGAGAATATTTGGAACTTTCAATGGATTATTTTCTCTCTAATTGAAATAAATGAATAAAATAGATTACTTTCATCACTTTTCTTAAATCATCGAGTTCTTGCCTAGACTAAGATATTGTGAAACTTTGAAATGTTAATTAAGATAAAAAAACTAATGTGTTTTATATTTTGAAAATTAGTAACTTTTTAAAAGTTTTGTTTATTTCCATGACAGCCCAGATCTCTTATACATGTTGCATACATACATGTAGTATAAACACATCATGCTTTCAGTAAATTTTACTCTACCGACTATTCTTTGACGTTATATCTGAAATAATGATAAAATAGAACCCCATACCGAATTACTAGGTATGGGTTCCAAGTTTGTTTGTTTTTGTTTTTTTTTTCGAGATGTGTGGAACATCAAGTGCCTGCATGTCTTATTTGTTTTTTCATTAGAATTTGATTTACCTTATCTTCCTTTTCTCTAAATGAATGAAAAGGAATGATTTTGAACATACAGGTATAAACGATATTTTGTACACATGTCATTTACATTACATGCTGATTTTCTTACTCATTTCGTTTATTTCCTTCTCTGCTTGATGTATACATGGATGTGTAGGAATAGTTTAAATTATACCATTTCTCTTACCTGTAAAATTTTGTATTTATTTTTATAACTTTGTTGCATATAATAAGTTAATATAACATGAAAATCGGAAATAATAATTATTTCATTGATGTTTAAAAAGTTTAACATTAAATATTTCAGATTCTGATTCAAAACAACTACGGTAACCCGTAAATCGCAAAGTTTTTACTGCATATGTGCTCCTGAGTCATTGTAAATTCTATAAATAAATATGAAACCAATAATATTTTTCTTAAAAAAAGAAAGAAAGAAAAAACATGATGTCCATGGTCTTCACACAGCAGTTCCTGAGTAAGATTTATCTCCTTTAATACTATATACTCTTGTATCAAACACTAAATGAATAAAATATATATTTAATTTTTTTTTGATTAATTTTTTGTCAAATATTAACCAAATACTTTTGCAAAGTAACATTTCAAATATTGTAATGAGAAATTAGAGAAACAACGCCGCAGGCGTTAGATTTTTCGTCAGGCATGCTCCACGCCGTGTGCAAACTTTAAAACGATTAAAAACCCAATTCTGTGCTTTTAACATTATTGTTGTTTCCTAAAACATTAACTACAGGGTCTAAAGAAGTAATATATCTAACAAAAACTCAATTAATTCCATTAATAACACGGCAGGCGTAATCTATACATTTTCTCGGCAGGCGTATTTTCCCCTGGCAGGCGTCGGCAGGCGTATTTTAGTGTTACCCACTTTTATGAGCTTGATTAGAAATTTTTCCTTGATCGTATCCACCGAGTTTATAGATTTATCCTTATATTTATACACCTGTAGTGTAGCTTTGACTTTTGGGGGCGCTTTGACCAAACCTCAAACGTTGTTTTTCCATTAAAAAATATGTCAGGGGGCGCTTTGACCAAAATTTGGGGACGCATTGACCAAAATTTGGGGGCGCACTTTGACCAAAATCAAGGGGTGATTTGATCAATATTTGGGGGCGCTTTGGAAACTTCGTTTTTCTATAAAAATATGTCAGGGGGCGCTTTGACCAAACCTCAAACGTTGTTTTTCGTTTAAAAAATATGTCAGGGGGCGCTTTGACCAAAATTTGGGGACGCATTGACCAATAGTTGGGGGCAATTTGGAAACTTCGTTTTCTATAAAAAATATGTCAGGGGGCACTTTGACCAAAATTAGGGGGCGCTTTGACCAATATATGGGGACGCTTTGGAAACTTGTTTTTTCGATCAAAATATGTCAGAGGGCGCTTTGACCAAAATCAGGGGGCGCTTTGACCAATATTTGGGGGCGCTTTGGAAACTTCGTTTTTCTATAAAAATATGTCAGGGGGCGCTTTGACCAAAATCAGGGGGCGCATTGACCAAAATTAGGGGGCTGTTTTGTAGCATTATATTTCTATAAAATATGTCAGGGGGCGCTTTGACCAAAATTTGGGGACATTTTGACCAAAATCATGGTACGCTTTGACCAAAATCAGGGAACGCTTTGACCGGGACGGTTTTAATTGGGAACGCTTTGACTGGCTTTTCCCGTATCTATTGCTCTTTTATTGACTGAATAAAGCCTTATTTAGAATGATAGTCCCTTCTTGGGTTTTGACATATATCAAATTAAAATATATGTTTAATTGAAATGATCTTTTAAAAAAAATCAAAATCCTTGAAGAACATTGTATTAATGTATGTAAGAACCTTTAAATTTTTTTTAAAATCAAAATGAAAATCGATTTTTTCTCATAACAGTTAGGATTCTTGATTTTAGTCAACGCAAAATTTCAAACACCTCACCGACGTCGATCAATTTGTTTACAATCTCGAGGAAGCCATTCACCCATGTGCAAAATGTCAACATGTCACAACTAAACCCCGGAAAGAAATAAAGAGTTCTGAAAGATGTTATTATGGAGGAGGAGGAGGTAGTTTTAGAGTTTGAAGCGAGTCTTGGCAACGGATCCTTCGGCATTGTGTATCTGATCAAGGACAAGGAGAATCGAAGGGTAATAAGTTATCAGCGGGAATTCCGATTTTGAAGGTCTTAATATATTGACTTTTCGATTGACAATCTCCAGATGATGATCATATCATTGTCCTCTGAAATTGTTTTCTGTATATCGAATTTTGTAACATGTTCATTGTTTGCTACGTCACCTCATACCTGGGTTTGCAAGGGATTTCCCCCCATTCTGTATAGTACCATGCTGACATTTACACATTTCCATGTTTCTATATATTTACTTCCCCAATGTCCCTTTATTTGTTTAAAACTAATAGAATATAAATAAATAAAGAAGCTTTAAATATCTAATTACTTTTTATGTAATTCGTTTCAATCTTCATGCAAACTTTGCTCAGATCGAAATCTGCAAAACCTTAATTATATTCAAATTCATACTTACAAAAAGCATGTTACATTGTTTGTCATGTTTGGAGCTTTTTAAAACACAATGAAGTTCTTCAATTTTATTCTCTTATTTAAAAAAAAAAAAATTGGCATGCCTTAAGTGTGTAATGTACGTGATAAACATTGTATTGGGTACAAATTGAAAATATAACAATGTTCTTTCTTTGCAGTATGCTGTGAAAAGAATCAACTTTCAGGGTCAAGAGTCAGAGCGAACACAGGCCTTGAGAGAAGCAGAACTTCTGTCCAAGGTACGAAACGAATACATTCTCAACTACATCGAATCATTTGAAGATGACGAGTGTCTAAATATAGTAACAGAATACTGTGATGGGGGTGACCTTGAGGTGTATTTAAGGAACAGAAATGGGAAGAGTCTGCCTGAAGTTCGAATCTGTCACTGGATTTACCAGATAGCATCAGGACTACAGGTACACATCTTGTTATTGTATGTGTAGAAATTCATCTTTTACTTTAAATTAGAATGTGCTTACATATATAGTTCATTAAAGATATATGCATTTCATCTTTTTTAGAAGTTGAATCACAAGGTTAAATACATGTACAACCAGGAGATATATATACTCATTAGCTCTTAATTTCTATATGCCTCCATGCCACAGATAATTTTTTGTGATATAGTACTTGGTACTACTAGGGGTTATATATTAAGACAATTGAAGTTCATATGCAGTACATATATTGGCAGATTTTAAAATTTTCTTGAACACTTTCTTGCATCGTCTGACCTTGAGAACCTTATGCATGTACATGTATCCTGTCTATGAATTTAGTCTCAAGCTATAAAGATAGAGTATTGTTCTTACATACAGTTGCAAAAGTAAATCTTGTGAGTGAATGTACATGTTTCATTAACTTTTCCTTTACTTGCACATATATCTTCACTAGCACATGTGGTCATTTGCTTGGCACAGTGAGTCTCAGAATAAGGACTTGATCCTTACATTGTGTGGAGACACTGGTTCTTTGAATAATACCATATCAAATTATGTCCTCTGTCACAGTAGGTGCTGGCATTAAAAAGATCCTTCACTGCTCTAAGGCCTTAAGTGCACACATGTGAACGTGACTTATTATGTCTGTAGCCATTATAAGTTAATACTTTATGTCTTTTGTTTGTTTATCAGTACCTTCACGGACAGAAGATTCTCCACAGAGATCTGAAAGCCAAGAATATTTTCCTGATGAGTGACCTTTCTCTGAAGCTGGGAGACCTAGGCATCGCAAAGTAAGTAGTCCAGTATGTGGTTATTACTCAGAATGTATGTATATACACTGTCCATGAGCCTTGCATCAATCAAAATTTATTTTGTGATTTTGTTCATAATTGAT